GGGGGGGGCTAGCTCTACATACTTATTTCTAAACTACAAGGATTCCCAACAAGGTTTGCTGATTATCACATGATCGTTCTGTTTATTTAGTGACTGTGTTAGGCAGGAAATTACTCTTCACTCTGTGACTCATAAACCTTGCAGCAGAATTCATAAATGTCTCTTTTATGTCCTTGTTTCTGAGACAGTATATAATGGGGTTGGATATATGTGGTACATAAGAGTATAGACAAAGGACAAATACGCCTACGTCTGCATTTAAAACCAGTCCGACCTCGTTGGCCGTGTACACTAAGACTCGCGGGGCGTAATGCACAGTCACTGCAAAGAGATGCGTGGAACAGGTGTAAAAAGCCTTCCGCCAGGTCTCGGAGCTGGCCGACAGACGGATGATATTGATGATGATGATATATGACAACGTGATTAAACTTAAAGGCACAAATTGTATAAACATGGCAAAGACAAAAGTCGTCTTCTTGATGAGGGAGACGTCCTTGCAGGCCAGCGCCGTGACCGCTATGTTGGTGCACATTATGGTGTTGATTTTGTTGTAACCGCAAGGAGGCGCCTGCGAGTTCATCACCAGAGCCGTCAGAGCAGTACTGCTTGCTACCACCCAGCAGGTACAACAAGACATGGCGACCACTCTGCTGGTGATGATCGTGGGGTATCGCAGGGGCTTGCAGATGGCGAAGTAGCGGTCAACAGCCATGAGCACGAAGATGTAGGAGTCGGTGGTGTTCAGGAAGTGGACGAGGAACATTTGAAGAAGGCATTCCGGAAAAGTCATGGTTGAGCCAAACCAGTACTTGGCAATGAGTTTCGGTAGCGTTACGGTGTCAAAAAGGAGGTCGGCGAATGCCAGGTTAGCTATGATGACGTACATAGGTTTGTGTAAACGTTTCTTCATGATGACCAGACTGATGACTGTACCATTGGCAGACAGAGAAGCCATGTAGATCAGAAGCAATACAAGGGTGACCGGAATGTAGAATTCTACTTTAAGTCCGGGAAACCCTACTAGAATGATCTCCTTAACCTCTGTCTGATTTGCCATCACCTGCCCGGTAATAATACAAAACACGGACCCTAAAATAAGAGCCGTTGGTATGAGATGTGGGGGACTGGACCTTTCTTTCAATGGTCTTTTTTTGTCACGATCTGGGATCAGGCTCGGAGACCAGTAGATGAAACAGCAGGCAAATTCGTAGTATAACAGGCCGGGTTCGGTACACAAGCAGACGGTAGCAGTGGAGGAGCAGGCAGAAGCGTAGTCAGTGAACAAGCCGAGGTCAGCAGCCAATGGTATCGGGTATGAAGCAGAAGACGATGAGAGTAGTCGGTGAATCAGCAGCCAATGGTATCGGGTATGAAGCAGAAGACGATGAGAGTAGTCGGTGAATCAGCAGCCAAAGGTCGTACACGGGTAGCAGTATGAGAGGATTGTATCACAGGAGGAGCAAGGAAGCAAGATATTGGCAGGAGCACAATAATCTGGCAAACAGGAAGTGCAGAGGCGTGGCTTAAATAGGAAGTTCAAGGGAGGAGTTCAGAGTTCAGCAGAAACTAGGTTAAACTGAGGATTACACAGGTGATCAGGCAAGGAGCTATCCAAGGTGGCTCTGCAGGTAGAGCCACCGCCAGCTACAGAAGAGGCCCTGGGTTCAGATCCGGTTCCTGACAATTTTGGTCAACTTGAATTGGTTTCCTTTACAGGAAGCTCTGCAGAAGAGTGAAGTCCGAAGATCGAAGACTGTAGACTCAGAGAGTAGAGTGCCAGTCACATGTGTTTCATTTATTTATAGTGAAGTACACTAAAAATCAAACGTGTATCTAGGGGTTCGAAGAGTCCCCCTTCATCGGGGCTGCAAAATGGCAACACAAACAATCAAATAAGGACACTTATCCAATTTGGACATAGATGGGTATGTACGGAATACACACAGTCCTTCGTAAAAGAAGGTTAAGTCAGGAAGAAATGTATCTTAGCATCGGCATGGCTGAAGGTACGAAATATATACGTGATAGGTACAAGATAATAGTAGAAGGTACATAATAATATAATATACAGAGCCTATTCGTAGGCCGAAAGGTCTTGAAAAATTTAACAAAGCATGAGAATTTAAATGGAACTATAACAAAGTATGAAGGAAGTAATAAGAGCCGAGGAACACGCAGACGTCTTCTCTGATTACATAGTAACATACATAAGAGGTTAAAAGAAGACCGACGTCCATCACCGTTCCACTGCTGTGTTTAAATAAAACCCGATACAGTGGCTTCCATTAAGTGGAGCACAGAAACGTCTTGCCGAGTCTTCACTCCACTGATGGATTGTATCGTCTTTCCTGAAGATGCAGCTCATAGTAAGGAAAGTATCCAATCTTCATATCAGTTGGCTCTATTGGCGGTCATCAAGTCAAGTGGGCCACCTCAAAGTTTTGGTGATGGCCTCTTTCTCTTCGGTCACTGCGTCACCGTATCACCTGCACAATCCTAGGAGGTAAAAGAGACAGTTTTTAGACAGAATTCCAATTCTATGAACTTACCCTTGAGACCTCTCGAGTTCGGTTATATCATCCATGTAGCTAGAAACCAAAATCTGTACCGCTTACCATACAATAAGCACTTCATATGCTCAACTGAACGTTACCAAATCCCAATATTATTTTAATAATGGAAATTATCAAAGCAAATCAACCAGTCCCTTGTGGCGTCGTGTAGGTAGGGAGCCTTATTCTTACTATCTTGTGGCTTACACTCCTCTGTCTCTGTACCACCATCTACTCCATGAGTTCAGGTCCCAAGACCCTTGGAGCAGTTGCTAATTTTTTTATTTTTGTAAGTGTAACTAAAGTTAATGTACTAACATTTTTGGGTGCATGTCAGGGGCGTAACTAGAAATCACAGGGCCCCATAGCAAAATTTTGTATGGGGCCCCGTGATTGCTAGTTATGCCACTTGCAGAGCCCACCTGATATACCAAACAGCCCACCTGAGAGTTACCCTGCAGAGCCCGCCAGAGACTCTCTATAGTGGGCTCGGCAGGGTCTCAGATGGGCTGCGCACCTCTTACCTGTCAGCGCTGTCCGCCTCCGTGGTCGCCGGGTCCCGCCTCCTCTTCCGTCCCCGGGCCCCCGCCACTTCTTCTATCGACAGGCCCCGCCTGCTCTTAGATCGCTGGCCAGTGATGTAAGAGGAGGCAGGGTTGCTCTTAAGCGGGCCCTGCCTCCTCCTTCACTGCGAACGCCGCCCTCTTCTGCCGCAGCTGCTGGCTGTCACTGACACAGCTACACAGCGGCTGTGAGGGGAAACGCGGCGCGCCCGCTGCACACATCACTGTGTCCGTGCCCCATAGCGGCCGCCCGATTGTTACGCCACTGGTGCATGTGTGCAGGGCCGGTGCAAGGATTTTTGCCAACTCAGGCGAAGGTGCATTTTGACGCCCCCTCCCCCCCCCCGGCGAGCGCGCACACACACACACACTAATGCAGAATACCAGCAGTTACAGAGGACTACAAATCCCAGCAATAATACATTATACAGGCTGCTTAATATATTATTGCTGGGATTTGGTGTTCATCTATAGCTGTGTTCTGCAGTGTGCCGCTTTTTTTTTTTTAAACCGGAAACTTTAAAACAGGTCCCCCTTACCTGTTTCTGAACCCTTGTAAGTCGCGGCGGCGGCGATGGCGCCGTAAGGCAAGTGCCCATGTTGCCTTGCGCTAGCGCCGGCCCTGCATGTGTGTGTAGCCACCATCACCTTCTGTGATGTGGCTACTAAGACATTTAGTGATAGCCGGGGCTGTAGTCAGCCTGGCTGGAATGATAGTGGCAGTTATCTGGTTAATTCCAGGTGTCTGCCATTGCCTGTACCCCCCCCCCCCCTGGGCGGAGTGTGACTCTGTCACATTGTGGGACAGCCAATGAGAGATGCTTTCAACCAGTGGTGCATGCTGGGATAGGGTACATATACTGGAGGGATTTTCCATGTGCTCAGACTTGCCGGGACCAGCCATGGAATAGGGCTGGGTGCTGTTCAGCTTGCCCACCTGGGCTAGGCCTAAGGCCTAGGGGTGGGCATAGGCTGGTGTGAGGGAAATGTTTCCCTGAGGCCTCCAACATGGAGGAGGCCTCTGTTGCTGTTAGACGAAGAGACCCCCGGACCATTAAGGGCTCTTGAAATATCCTGGAACTCAGAGGACTTCAGGAGTATGGTCGGTGTCTTTCCTGTTGTGGATCTGTGTCCATCTTTGCTCATCTGCTACATCAGTCGCCATCCGCTGCCTCCCAAGTGGATCTACACTGTTGTGCCGACCACGTCTGGTGAGTCTGGAGCTTATTAGACATGTGCGATTCGTTTCGTTCCGAATCGAAATTCGGACGAATTTTCGGAAATTCGGACATTCGGATGTATCCGAATTCCGAATTACAGACATAACGAATGCAAACGAATCCGAATTTCCATTTCCGAAATTCGGTAGCATTCGTACGAACGTTCGTTTCGGTTTCTGTTCTTATTCAATTCTTATTCGTTTCGTTCGTTGGAGCAAAATGACATTAGAGAAGGAGAAAAATATTTTTTCCCCTCAAATGTTACTTTTGCTGCAAACGAACGAAACAAATAAGAAACGACCGTGTCCAGGTCAGGGCCATCCCTATTATGAGGTTGCCTCAGGTGGCACCTCATTGCGTTGCATGGTGTGCCTCCTGGCCAGAGCGTCCCAGGTCGCTAAGAGCTTCTAGCAACCTGTGACACTCTGGCCGGTGTCCCACCACCCAGCTCACTGACATCTTTGGTTGCCAGTAGCTGAGCCGAATGCTCTGGCTGGCGTCCTAGCCAGTCCCTGGCAATTAGTGATGTCAGTGAACTGGGTGGGACCAGGGGCGTATCTGCGGCAAGGCAAACAAGGCATTTGCCTGGAGCGGCAGATTCTCTGAGGGCGGCGATGCTTCCTTGCCTAGGGCAAAGCTGCACATCCCCCCTCCCCCGGACTGACCCGCCGATTC